AGCCACCCGAGACAGCTCCTCCGGGTTTCGTACACAATAAACCCTCCTCCGGATGTATTTCAGAATTATGCCCTTCTTATTGTGTTCTTTCTTGGGGATGTCAACAGGGCGTAACTCGACGTGACACACGTCAGCTGTCATCGTTATAACACTAGCGACGTAGAACTCGTCGTTATAACAGAATGGATCCGACAAAACAAAATGAGACCGGAGTGGCCATTTCTGGCTTGTATCATTAATTGTAAACTTTGCATGAATGTCTACAAAAGGTGCATCCGTATTCCTTCCTTGACTAGTAGCGCGTCTGAGCACGTCAAGATGACCAGTTTCTTAGTGTAAGTAGAAGATATCTGAAGAAATCCAAACCAAATATAGTAAAATTGGTAGATTTAAACAAACCAAGCGGTAACTGTCAGGGAATTCGACTACTAAATCGTCCACACAGATGTCGGCGAGGTCACGCCAACGACTTTTACGTAGACATTAAGTTGACGCCGTCATCAAAGAAGTTAGTTAAGTCGGCTTTAGAGCTCACTGATCCCTTACTACGGTCGAATTTAAGACTTTAGAGTTTTAGGGCTTGACTTGGGACACAAGCCCGGCCGAACTCTTGTTGTTATGGAACTCTTTTTCCTCGGTCTGCCCCTTATATTGGAATAAAATCAAGCACGGCATTTGTCTAATAGATTGCAGACAACCTGTACGGGACTCGCTGGTCGTTCAGACAATGCCCCAGCAAGTGTTGCTAAGAGAATTTTAAAGCGATGCTAGGAAAAATTAACTACTTCCTCAACCAAAACGAGGAGTCCGCCGTAAGTTATATCGCTTATCGCCGGACAAATGGCTGTCGTTGGGTCGTCTTTGCAAAACGAATACGTAAACTAATCAGTGACATCTTCCCATTTTCGGGGAACACAGACGAATACATCTTCGGGGCGACTGTAGCGGGCCTCCTTCTCAAACTCGGCGACTATCTCGTCAGACCCAGGTACCTACCAGTCTAACTGGACGTCAATGGAGGACGCAACGGGTTAACTGTGCCCAGAGTACTCATCACACCACGTCCATCCCCTTTCGTGGATTCTACAACTATTTGTAATACGCTTGAAGGGTCAGACGAGGACTATCCTGACTGAATGGCTAACGTAAGACCTGGCGTAATGGTCAGAGGCAGTAAGCTGTTACATCGCGATAAAACTAGTTGCCGAGGTCGACCGTGATTTTAACTAAAAGCTGACGTCTAACACCTTTTCTAGCAGCCAATTTTATGTCTAATAATGGCATGTTTATAAAAATGCTCATGACTCCGAAGCAACGTTGGCAAGGTACTGGGTGTGGTTTGAACAGAAATCTTAACAGCTACTCTGAACAACAGTGGTCGTAGACAACACAAAGGAGTGCGCTGTGTTAACTCATGGCTGAGGGAATCTATGAAATCGGCAGCGTACATGGATTTGTGGGAGCACATTCAAGAGATCTGCGGTGACCCGTGTGTTCGTGCTGACGGCAGATGTGAATGATCACAAGACATAAAGAAAGCCTTGACGCAGCGCTGAGTTGAGCAGGGACGGCAGGTAGCGCAATTATAGACGTAGGAAAATCGGGCATCACTTCAATACATTTAAAGACTTAAATACATGACCCAATAAAAAAAACGGTGGATAAATTGAGCCGTAACCGAAATAAATCTCATACCAGGCGTTCGATGTTGTGTCCCTGGAGATAAAGACGCTTCCGTAAGATGTTTGCTCCAAAATACCGTGAGTGATGCAGCTTTCTGTGAACGGCTATTACAGATACACGTTCCGGAAAGTTCGATTTTAGTCATATGAATGTTACTAAGTTAAAAAGACAAGCATTCAGATTCGGAAAAAGCGGAGTATATGCATTGGTGTTGGATATGGGATCTCGCTGTACTCCTGAAAAATGCTTCTGGTCACTCGATCTGAAACAGTTGTGTACCTCCATAAGGGCCTAGAAATAAGTTTGAAGAATTCGTATTTACTGCGCTCGCACTTGAAAATTCACCGATGCCAAATGGATGAAACTGTTGTCCCCTTGTCGCGACTTAACTAATAGATTCAGACAACAAATCGCCTCTGGATTTTATTCTATGCGATTTAACTTAAGTTCGCTGACTTGTGCGCACGAATACGAAGGGTAGCGGTTTGATGTAGTGATGCCAGTCCAAGACACGTTAGCAGAAAAAACCACATACGTGGAAGGCGTTTTGCGCTTCAAAAAGTCCTGCAATCCCGAAAGATAAAATGTACATTTATTATACCGTTCGGTCGCCTTTGACCGCTGTGTTGTTTAATATACTTCTCCTGTTCCTTTTTCGAAGTGCATGACTAACGGCCAAGGACTTAACGTGAACTTAATGTCGGTGGTGGTGGGTATATCAGGCCTCGGACGAACCATTAGCTTTGTCTACAACCTTAGACTTACAGATGACATAGAGACGCCCACAGCCTTTATAGTTCCAATTCAATTCCAATTCAGTTAACACAGACGGCTGTTTCCGCTGTCAAATAAACAAGTCCCTTTAAGCAATTCAGTGATTATATTTTGTCGATGAACTGCGAACGACCGGTGTACGTAAAGCTTACAACGAACTTCTTCAATGCAAAAAGAAACTGAGGAAAACGCAAAGCAATTTATTGAACTAAACTACAGGCAAGATTCGATCAAGCTTTTGGTTTCACTAAACTGTTTAATAGCCATGCATTTGTTAAACCAAGGTTTGATTTCCTTTTGCAACATTCCTGTTAACCTGGACTGTATCGAATAAGTGAAGAGTGCGACATCGAGAAGGGATAAGCCGTCTTTGGCTGCTAATACAAACTTCTTCAAATATTCCTTGCGCTGGTTTTCCGTGCCGTTAGTTACGCTGAACTCAAGATGCGAGAGGAGTTCGAAGGCACTGCTTCCATGCAAATCCATCCGGGCCAAAAGCATCAGAATTACTGCTTGGCCATAGATAGGCAACTGTGTAAAGGGATTAGAAATGCCTTTGCAGCCAAAAGGAAGAGGTTTCCAAATAACAGAGAGGATGAATTTGGCCGAAGATATTCGGCTTGGTGTTGAGAAGTAGCGCTCAATCTCGGTCAATTTATTCGGAGAGACAGACAGAGAACAGTGACGATAGAATCGAACCGAAACAGAGATACCGGAGATTGCCAGAATTTTACTGAAAAGAAGAATAGCAAAAGGAGGCGCGTCGGGGTCACAGTGGATGGCAAGGTCAATAGCATCTTTGTTGCTCTCCGATACCACTGAATGGCTAACTTTTGAATCCATTGCGGACAAGATAACAGAAGCCTGAGCACCCACTTTCTCCAGCCTTTTCATTACACCTTGCTCCCCTTTGGGGCAATGTGCAGTTGGAGTTGATACACACGTTGTTTTGGCTGGAGAGGAATGTGCAACATTCTCCAACCGTTTCGTCACAGATTGCTCCGCTTTGGGGCAATGTGCAACGGGAGTTGGTACACAGGTTGTTTTGGCTGGAGAGGAATCCATAGCGTTAAGGACCACATCCAGTCGCGCATCGATTGCAGTCAGTCGTTGGTACAGCTTGGGATTAGGTGAACCGGACCCAGACTGGCATGTTTTAGACTGCAAAAATTTTCCCAGTTCAGAGCGAGG